CTCTGCTCTAATATGGAATGCATAGCCTCGAGTTTGAACTTTCGAAACGTTAACCAATCAGTAGTTTTTGTTCTGCATTACAATTGGTCAGAAAGAATGACAATTATGAAGTGATATTGAAATAAATATACAGGTGGCAGAATTTATTGAAACAGATCATCTTACAGAGGTGGTCGGCTTTTTTAGGGGTGTCGGCTTTTTCCGGGGTTCACTGTATATATGACGAAATGGGGGCAAAACCCACTTCGACCGCGCAGTGCGCCAGCCATCCACGAGAGCCTGCATTCCGTCTCGTCCTCTGGCACATTGCCCTTTAGTACCATCCTGCGGCTTGCCAAATAGTTGTCACTACCCCTCGGATACTGTGTCGAGAGTTTATGTCCCTGAACAGCGTTCGTCCCGAGCGGACAACAATTGTGCCGATGTCGCACCGTACATCCGAGAATTACCTCTATTTTTCTAAATTTCTATTGACGTCGAAGAACATTATTTTCTACAAGTGTACTATTTTTGGTAATATTGGACGAATATAGCAAGAAATTGAAGATGCGATTCGGCAAATGCCCCAGGCATCGCGGCAGACACTGAGAGCACTGACTCGTGCGTACTTAGGCTTGGAATTCTCTAACCCTATTCAACGCCGTAGTGTCAAAAGTGCACTCGAATAATCGAAGAAGTCATTGATGCTGTGGAAACCTCGTTTTATGAATTGCCCGTGAACACGGTGTCAAAAATAAAGGTGATGGATAAATGCATCGATATACATGGTGGCAATGATTATAAGCTCCCTCACATTAAGATGGATCGATGATAACCGACTTCACAACGTTCAACGTACAGTGCGATGCGCGTAACTACGAGAGTTCCTTTATTCATTTGAACTTACGACTTGGAGAAAGAGGCATCCATGGAAGCACTTCTAAATTATCAATTGCAAGGTCTCAGGGCAATTGTATAAAAGCACATTATATTTTTTGCCTCAATTATTCGTCCCTGGAGTGACATACAAGAACTAAGTTGCTCTGCATCGTGTCCCATAATTTAGTCAAGTCAAATCGAAGGAAGCAACTATATCGGACTAGAGTAGTACATTACATGAGTTCGTGGCAGCGCATTTTCAAATGAGCGAGTGATATTTCACATGGCATGTGCCCCCCACGCTTCAATAGTGCGCTAAATTTATAGCCATGTGATGTTCGGTTG